TTCGTTTATCGAGATCGACGAGCGAGGCCTCCCTCCTCTCCTCGATCTGTCGCAGTGATTCCTCTAGATTTCGCATTCGTTTCTCTTGAGCGTCATCGAGCGTCTCGATGATCTTTCAGATCTCGCTCAGATCTTTCTCTCGCGATTCGTCCCGTTTCTCGAGCTCTCATTCCATCGCGTCTCTCGTCTCTATTCGTTTGTCGTGATCGACGAGCGAGGCCTCTCTCTTCTTCTCGAAGTGTCGCAGAACGTTCACTTCGGTTTTTACGTCGTAATACTGTAGGAGGATATTCCGAATTCGGTTGTTCATATCTTCCAGTTGTTTTCGTAACTCATTCGTTAGAACTTTCGACTCCTCGCTCCTTACGCGAAGCGCGTCGTCGACGTAATCCTTGGTTGTCGCGTCGACATCGTCGATCAGCGTATCCAAATGGCGTATATTGCGTCTGTTGACGTCGTCCGGATTCAGGCAGACCGCGCTGCGACACACGTATGCCCGCAGGGATGCGATCGTCGAACGATCGTCAATGTCGCGCTGCCTCTCCAGAGACTTTCCGAATTAGTTCACGGACATCATGCCCTTGCGGGTGACGAATTTACCGCGCGCGATAATCTGCTCGTAATCTCGGCGATCTCCGTATCGTATTTGAGAAATAATCTACGCGCGCCATAGATTCCTCCAATTCGCCGATCGATCTGGCCGTGCTCTCGTTCATCTCCGACAGCAACGTTCGAGTGCTCGCCGAGAGTTCGCTCGTCTCGGAGATTCTTGTTTCTGCGTCTCGAAACGCGCTGTCCACGTAGTTTTTCCTCGCGGCGTCGATATCGGTTCTAGGTGCGGCTAAACGCTGTATGGTTCTGTCTCTCGCGTCGTAGTAATCGTCACTTAGACAGAGCGCGTTGTTACGCATAGCGACGCAAGGAATCGATCGACGGTCGCGAGCGTGCCTTGTCGCCTCCGCCGAACAACTCCAACGGTCTTCCGAACTTGTTTACCAACATAACGGGAATACCGGTCGCCGCGAGCGCGCGCCGCGTTTTACTCGATCGCGTCGATCTCGCGAAGCTCTTCGAGTATCGATAAAATCTCGTTATCGTGAGCGTCGTTGCCAGCTCATCGAGAGGCATCGAGCAATCGAAGACGATCGACTAGCTTGTTGGGATCGTCATGAACGTAATCGATTCCTTTGTCTCTCACCCGCATAGCGGATGGAACAGAGTCGATCCCTTTTTTTCTCGCTTTACCAATACCAGCACCACTTTTGTCTCTATCGAGCAATAGCGGCGCAATGATATGCTTGTATTTGAAACCTTTGTTTCCTAGAATGGGCATAAGCGCGTTGTGACCACGCCGATGGGAGTTCGTAGTCAGTATACTCTTGTACGTTTGCTTGTCGTTTTCCGTGTACGGCGTCGTCGGGAAGTTTCTCGAAGATCAATTCGTATAAGCCCGAGGTACCCGGATATCGCGTGTCGCCCACGATCACGCTGTCGTCGGCGGCCATGTCGAATCGCCTGTCGTCAAGCATCGAGCCATCCAAGTCGAAGTACACATGATCGATCTCGCTCTGTCTGTTCCCGCTTAGAAGCGCGCCCATATATTTGCGACCTAACGGTCCCCATTGCGCGTTCGAGATCGATTCCTCCGATTCGTTTCTAGTCGCGGGACTCACTGTCGCGACCAATGGCGATCTCGTCGAGAGGCGTCTCTTCGTCGGTTTCGACGGCAGCTCGTCATCGTCGTCGGTCTCGCGTTTCCTCTTAGCGCCGACGAACGCAATCGGGTCGATTCCCTCGGTCGACTCGTCTCGCGCGGTATTCTCGGCGATTCGTTTCAACGGCTGAACGATCGGCCTGAGTCGCCTCTCTAGCGCGATCTTTTCTTCTATCTCACCGGTTTTTAACTCTCTATACTCTTTATGTATAGAGTTCTGAGTCTTCACGATCTCTCGCGCCGTTTTTTCCCGCTGAGCGACGTCCATACCAGCCGTCAACGTCCATACTCGCAACAGCATCGACGTCCATCCTCGTCGCACAACTGATCGCTCTACACCACGGCGAAATTGTTAAATTCTCGTCTGTATCTACCGTTCCTTAACGCGCTGTCCTTATCGATGACTACGAAACCGTATTTGCGTTTCCAACACGCGCGACACAAGGCGTAAAAATTCTCGTACGACATATCCGTGTTCACGTGCTCGTTGTAAACGTACTTTAGGTTAGTGCCATCCTGCTTAAACAGAATTAAGAGATTCGCATTGTCGCGTATCAGATGTTTCGGAATTTTAGCATATGTCTGACAAAGATAGAAACAATTGATGTTCGAGTGTCAATCCATGGCGAAATATTCCCTGATCGTGTTCTGCTTGTCACAGGTCACGTCGTCGAACACGAATATCGAATCGGGAAGCACCTCGCTCGGTGGCACGACATCGCTATTGTTCGAGAACGCGCGATAGCCGATCTCGTCCATCGACTCGAGCAGCTCCGCCAGGTATCGATACTTCGGTTGTTGCAGGGATTTCGAGTAGACGTACACGTTCTCGAAGCGCGCGCCGTGCAGACTTTCGAGCATGCTTATCACACATTCGTTTTACCGCAGTTGGAGGGGCCGCAAATGATGCAACGTATCGTGTTCGATAGTAGAGGGTCGTGTCTGCGCGTCCTCCCGACCGCGTCGCCCGAGATTCGTCGAGCCTTACGGTTGAGATTGGGCACTTCTATAGCCGGCGACCGTCGAACGAATCGCATTTACGCGCGCTCGCTTCGAGGAGACGCGACCGATAATCGCTCCACTTATACTTGACGACGATTCGATCGCGCACAATGATCGATATGTTTCTCCTATTGACAGACAAACGCGATATTCTCAATCTATCCGTCGAACAGTTGCGACTTATCCCGAAGATCGTTCTCGTGCGCGATTTCGACAGATACATGGAACTAGTGTGGAACAGACTACCCGGTCATCTAAGAACGGATCCCGAGGTGTAACGTTGTCGCGTGTTTCTGGAGCATTATAATCGTCCGTGGCAACAATCGCATATGGACGGTCCTGCATCTCTTATCAAGAATTGTAACGAATACTTAGCGGCGCGGGATTACTCGATACGACGATAAATACGCTTCCCTTCGAACTACATATTCCCGGGTATCAATTTTGCGGGCCCGGCACCCATTTCGCGAAGTGATTGGCACGCGGCGATCGAGGCGTAAACCCGTTGGACGCGGCGTGCCGCGAGCACGACATCGCCTATTCGCGAAATAAGGAACTCGCCGATCGCCATGACGCCGACCGAGCTCTCGTCGAGAAGGCGCGCGAACGTATAACGGCCGGAGATTCTACCTTCGGCGAGAGAGCCGTCGCGACCGCCGTATGGGCTGCTATGAAAGCAAAAACTAGGCATGAGTTTGAGAAAGAAGAAGAAGAAGATGACAATGAGGAGATGGATACTTCCAACGGTGAAATGCGGAGTCTTGTTATCCATTTTTTCCGATACTAGGCGTGCTCGGTTCTTTGATCGATGGCGCGGCGGGCGTCGCGAAGACGGTGAACGCCAGTAAAACCGCATGGCGTCAACTGGAGGAGTTGCAACATCACAATCGATGGAAGGTCACGGATTGCACCTAGCGCCTTACAAATGTGGCAGCGGTGTGACGAGAACGAAAAAAAAAAATCGTGGAAGGAAACGTTAGGATCGTTCGAGTTACCGCTCTGCGGCATTACGACGAACGAACAGCTGAACCGCTCGGCGCGTCGTCTGCGAGTATCCTTCTTCGAGGAGAGTGTTTATGCGTGACGCGTTACCATTGAAGGCGCGACGCAACGAGAGCGGCATCGTGAATCGCGACGACTCGATGGGTTCGGGTACTTACTGGATCGCCTATGCGAAGAGGGGAAACAACGTGACGGTTTCGATAATTTTCGACCGCCGAGGGAACTCGAGAAATATCTTGGCGGCGGCGTAAATATAACGTACAATCGCGGATCGTATCAGACGTACGATCAGAGCATCTGCGGTCAGTTGTGCCTGCCACTTCTCTCGAGGATCGGTCGCGATGTCGCTGAGCTTTTCGTTCACCGGTAAGAGTAGCGTCTTCACGGCATGCTATTTTCCCGCCTTAGATCTGAGCGACGACGATTACGAGTTAGGTCTCACGAATTTCGAGACGTACAACACTATACTGAACGTCGATTCCGCAAATAATAAGTTCTATTATATATAAGTTCTATGACAAAACGATCGTGATTCCTGAAAGTTCGTACGAATTAAGCGCGGTAGACAGATATCTGAACGCCTCTAAAAAGCAAAGGATCGACGAAAGCAAGAGGATGAGCGACGATGACGAGAGCGACGAGAGCGAGAGGGACGCGCGGTCTCTGATCATTCGCGCCAATGAGAACATCATGAGAAGCGAGATCAGGTGCGAGCATCAAATCGATTTCGTGAAACCGAACAACATCGGTTCGCTCCTGGGATTCTGGTCGTCGCGCGTGCTACGACCGAACAAATGGCACACATCCGACGGGCCCGTAAATATCATGGGCATGAATATCATTCGGGTGGAGTGCAATATCACCGCGGGTGCGTACAGCAACGAACCGGTTCACACGATACACGAGTTTTCTTCGAACGTTCCTCCGGGATATAAACTGTCGAATGCTCTGACATCGATCATTTACTTTCCGATCATCGCGCGAAACGTTACCGATATCACGCTTCGAGTCGTGGATCAGGATGGGAGACTGATCGACTTTCGCGGAGAGGAGATAACGGCACGACTTCAAGTGCGACGACGAAGGCATTAGAGAGATGCGCGAGAGCGAAAGATGCTCGTTCTGAATGAGTGGTACGCAAGAGAAGGAGAAGACGCAAACGCTACATCCGTGATCCTACCGCAAAATGACGCGAGGAAGGTGCGCGAGGAAAGAGCGAACGAGTTGAACACCACGAACGTCGCGTTTTTAAGATTTTTAGGTTTCGTCGTGAAGAATCGACATGTCGAGCGACATTTTAAGTATCGAAGGTGCCCCGATCTTTGACGATCGTATCGTGAGAATAGAAACCCACACTTACAATCCGTACGTTAACATCACGTTCGGATACAGCGACGAGATACCTATACAACAACAGGATCTGTAGACGTTGCCGTGCGAAAGTTTTCTGTACATCGAGGGAAAGTTCGCGACGAGAGAGAGCGCGAAGGAAGGCACGGCGAAGGAAGGTACGGCGAAGGAAGTTACGAGAACGAAGCTAGTCAACAACTGCGTCGTGTTTATGTTCGACGAGATATAGATATAAGCTCAATGGCGTGGAGATCGATAAGAACAGAAACGTTGGGCTAACGACCTTGATAAAAAACTATCGTTAAGCTACGAGAGAGATAGAGCTTTACAGAACACCGGATGAGAAATATCGCCTATAGCATTGGACGATTTCAACTTTTGCGTGCCTCTCAACTCCTCGGTTTCTGTGAGGATTACAAACGCATAGTGATAAACGCGCGACACGAACTCATTCTGATACGCGCAACGATAACAATTGCGTCGTGGCGCATTCAGATCAGAGATCGAAGATCACGTTGTTGAGAATACAGTGGCGAATGTCACACGTGATACTGAACGACAACAAACTGTCGCTTCTGCGAACGTTGGACAGCGAGCGATATCTAAGCATCGGCTTTCGTTCGTGGGATCTGTACGAATTTCCACTGTTGCAAAGTACGACCAAGCATTCGTGGGCGGTAAAAGCGACAACGCAATTGGAGAAACCGCGATATATGATTTTCGCGCTACAGACCGGAAGGAAAAACGTACCGTCGGAAGACGTTTCTAAATTCGATGTTTGCAAGCTGACTAATGTAAAACTCTATTTGAATTCCGAGTTCTATCCCTACGACGATATGAATCTACATTTCAAACGTAATAAGTTCGCAGTGTTGTACGATATGTATTTGAAATTTCGAAAGGCGTATTACGGGTGCGAGACCTGCGAACTATTCATGACTGTCACTAGATTTCTGCAATACGGTCCGCTCGTGGTCACTGATTGCTCCCGCCAGAACGAATCAATCAAGAGCGCCACCGTCGACGTTCGCGTAGAATTCGAATGCAAAGAGAACGTTCCGGCTAACACAACGGCTTATTGTCTCATCATTCACGATAGAGTTATTATAATATAATAGAATATAATCCGCTGACGAACGTCGTACGTAAACTCACATAAAAAAACAGGAAACCGCGGTTTTCTCTACGCGATATCGATTACGAATGTATAAGGAAGAGCGGAGCGCGAAAAAAACAGGAAATCGTGGTTTTCCCTATGCGATAGCGATAACGAATGTATAAAGAAGAGCGAAGCGCAAAGCGCAGCGATTATCGAATTCTCGCGACGATGCCGAACGTACCGATCTTCGTTGATCTGCAAGGTTTTACCGTTCGGGAGAAATTTATAGTTAAAGAGGTGGCGATATTAAAGAAAAGGAAAAGAGCTGATTCATCAAATGTTTCGAGAAGCAAGTTTCCCTGGAATCTTCTTACAAAGACGGAAAAATCTAAAGCGTGCTGGATAACCTCCAATCATCACGGCTTGCAGTGGAGCGACGGCGACGTCGCATACAGACTCTCGAAACACGTGATTCGAAGCGGCGTGTGCGATCAATCGCGAGACGCACTTAAACGAGTGTACGTCAAAGGCTTGGAGAAAAAGAAGTGGTTAGAGGAGATTTTCGGTTGCGACATCATCATGGACCACGACGTGATCGTCGAGGCTATCGACGCGGATTTCGAGGATATAGGACGTCTAAGCACCTTGGATGACATTCCACTGCAAGTCACGCGAAGCATTGCGCTGTGAAGAACGTATGCAAACTGTACGACTGGTCGAAACGATAGGAATGTATTACCGAACTGTAATATCGCGTTAACGATTTATATCATATATCAGATTGTTTTCAATTATTGTATCATATATTAGATTGTTTTAAACTATTATATATCAGATTCATTGCTTATATTATAATCAGATTCATTGCTTATACTATAATTGGATTTTTTTATCGCCCACTATACTTATATACATGCTTGGGGAAATACAAATAACAAAAACATTTTTTACAATATATATCTCACTTTATTTTCATCTCAATCTTACATTCTCAAAATACAGAGCAACGAGTGACACATACATTGAGAAAATATCCCGTTTTAGTCAAGGGATATTTTCGTTCTAGAACTCTAACTGGATTATTCGTACAACCGGCGTTGTTATGACTCGACGCGATCGGCCTGTCATCATCGAGCGTCCTTTTCCTTCTCCACGCGTCGTCGCTCTCGTCGACTCGACGCGTCTCGGAATCCTGCGAGTACTCGATATACATTGTACATCTTTACAATCGGAGAGATCGCGCGATACTGTTCGTAAACGTTTCGTATCCTTCGCTCTGTACACTATCTGTACACTATACGAAAACTTCCGTGCCTCTTCCTCCTCACTCTCCTCTTCTAAATCGTCTTCGCTCGAAAATATCTTATCTGAGCGAATCTTTTCAAAAGCGCGCGCAATTGTTCTAACAGTCCGTTCCTTGGATACACGAAACCAAAAATCTCCGGATCGAATTAATCGGCCATAGTTACACTCCTGATAAATTCGTTGTACTTAAAGAACTGTCGTTTAACGAGAAAGTACAGATTATCGTCGATGTATCGAACGGCGGATGTTACAGCGGGTGGAATCCCTGGAAATATCGCGTGCAACGAGTTATGTCTGATGGCTATCATCAAGCAGTCGTCGATCTCGGCGTTGTAAATCGCGAACGTTCGTCCCGCGTTAGTATTAACTACAGTGTTGATTTTTGCGTTGGGAGGAAGATTCATATCCTTCAGTTTCCTCGGCCAACCCGGTAGCTTGAAATCTCGGATATTCTATCATGTATCGTTTACGAACAATACGAGTTGACCCGAGGGTCGTCAATACGTGCCCGCCAAACGCGTAAAATTATTAGGAAGGAAACGCAGATAGTCCGTCAGTAACAACGACCTGCCGTAAGATTTTCCGTTTAAGTCGACCGACCATAAGTGACGCCGATACGCCACGTACATTCTATTTTCTAACACCAACACTGCATCGACGCGTCGCAACGCACACAAATCCGCGGAATCCCCCGTGTCGCGCGTCGCGATTGTGGTCGTCGCTACGATCGTCGTCGCTGGTCTCAAGACTTCGCTCTTATTTCTTAAACCGTATAAATTCTGAATGGCGAGAAAATCCGCCTCACTCAATCGCAGGAAAGGTCTTAGAAGGGACGAAGGCGTACATTATCGTATTTTTCTGAGGACTGTGATGTAATTCTAACGCGTGGCCGATCTCGTGCGTCAATGTATGTAGCAGATGAATCGTATCGTCAGGATTAACGGTCAGCTCGATGTGCCACTTCTCCGCGTTATCCACGTGCACCTCCGACACTTCGGACGATGGTAAAAAAGCGTGAGCTAGCACGTTTCCTGGTCCGTCCAGCAACTATTCGATGTCGAGGATCTATGAACGTGTGAAAACCCTTCCAAAACGATAGCACCCTTCCGAAACGATATCGGAATTCATCGAATCGCGTTCGAACGTCAGCGACGAATTCGCCGCCCACATCTCGAACGCGACCTTGGTGATTCGTAGAATGCTCTCGCCAGGTGAAAGTTCCAAGCGAAATGCGTCTTCGCCCATTTCCTCGGAGATTTTTCCAAGTTACTCGATATATCTTTGGCGCCGCATCGCGGTTTACGCATCTGTTCCAATGTAGCTTCGTTAAGAACACCATCACCAGATATACGGTAATACTCCTGGAAAAGCGCGATCGCGTGTCTCAGAGCCAACGTCGCGTTATCGGAGATCGTTTGCACATTATCGCCATCCAGGTATCTGTAGGTTTGCAAAAACCGAATCGCCTCCTCGTCGCTATCGACGGTGAAGTTGCTATCGGCGGTGGAGTCGCGAATCTCCGCGACAACGGCTATCGCGCACGCGACCACGGCGATCCCGCGCGCGGGCGTCATAGCGCGAGACAGGAGTCGAATCGACACTGCGCGTCGCCGACCGAAATACGCGCGAACCGCTCGATCGATGTGGCCATCGGTCGCGAGAGAGCGGAGACCAACGCGATGAATCGATCTGAGTCGCGAATCGAAAATTTCAATCGCTTAATTTCTATTCTCTATTGTGCGATAGCGAGATTATTCTCGTCGAACGAGCCCAAATATAAGATCTCTCGTAGCGCGATTACACGCCAACGAATGATGATCTCGCTAAAGATCTCATACACAATACCATTAAAAAGTACATAATAGAGAACAAAAAGTAAAAACATAACAACGATAGAATAGTGATAGAATAGTGATAGAATAGAAACAAATAAAGAACGATGAAATAAACGATAGACGAATCTCCTATCGCTGTTGCGGTCAGACTTCCTGTAGTTACGCGTAACGAGCGCGAAAATGACGCATCGCACATCATCTAGATATCCTTTTTTTCCTCATCACTCTTTACCTCTCTTTTTACATTCCTAATAAAATATTCTCTTGTTATTATTAACACTCCTACGACGATTTCCTCCTCGCGCGACTCCCACCTCTCGTCTCTCTCTCATACGTTCCCGATAACGTCACCCTCGGTATCACAAATTGAAGATTTCCGATGCGTCGTCGATCCGCCTCTCATTTCCGCGATATGCAAACGAACGAGGAAAGGAAACTCCGTCTCTCGCGGTTAGTTAATCGTCGCAACAACGATGCGTATTAATGACGATTCATATTGTTCTTTTTTTTATTTCAGCATATCTCGTACATATATTTGTTGTTTTATTACTCGGCATCATATTTGTATACATACTCTTACATATTCGTATATACATATTCGTGTACATATTCTTATATATATATTCATATTAGTAATTAGTATACATATTAGTATATACTCTTTTACATAGACATATACTCGCACAAATTACATAGACATATACTCGCACTCTTTACCACAATCGATTCCTCTGGCGATAATTCGCGCGAGCATCATAGCGATACATCCTTACTCGCTGTCGCACTCGACGCTTCTCACTTCCCCGCGCATTCCGGGCACTCTCCCCAGATCATCAGCGACTCGATCTGTCAACTGTCGCATCAACTCCTTCCGATCCGACGCGGAGTTCAAAAATTGAACTCTCAATTTCGCATATTTCCACTAGTTGCGTCTCTTCTTCTTGACTATATCCTTGACGTTGTACACATACATTCGAACCAATTCGCAATCGGTCCCCTTCTCACCCGGAGATCTCGCCTCGAGCTGTCATCCACCCTTCAACTTCGTCACGTACTGAACGAATCGGTCAGCCTCCTCTTTGTCTCCAGATAGGGACGCGAACAACGCGTCTAAACTACTGCCACAACTCTCGTCATTTCTTCTCGCCGTATTCAGACGCGCAAGATACTTCTCGTACTCGTCGTCAAGATCCCCCTTCGTCATTTTCAAATATCGCGCCAGATATTCCCAGTAATCTCGTATCCAACTCGAAGAAGCCTCCCTCGTTCTCCTCGATCTCTATAAGCGCGCTCGACGGCGTCGCGGAACTCTCGACCAAGTGAATCATGCTCTCCCCAGAACAGTACGAATTCCATGGACCCTTCTGACTCCACGTCGGTGACGATACGTATAGCGTTCTTCATACACTCGGCCTCGCGTATACGCGCGATTGACTCCGTCCCTCGACGAAGCGCCAGATGTTTAGAAGAAACGCCATCATCAGCCGCAAATTACACGCCATCGAATGCGTCCACATCGCGCGCATCAACTCGAACGAGTCGACCGTGTCGTTCTCGACCTCTGCCTATATCTCTTCTTCCCGCTCGATCGTAGACCGTTTCTCACGTTCCATCGTCATCGCGCGTTTCTTCTGTTCCACAATCTCGCGTTCCATCTTTCTCGAGAGCTCGAGCGATTCGTCTAAGAGCGATATTATCTCCGGATCCTTCAATTGACTCTCCGGAACATTAGACTGACTCTCCATCTCGCAAATTAACAATATATCGTCGATACTCCTAGTTAAATATTCTAAAGCGGCATAAAAAAATAATGCGCCAAACCGCAAAACAGGACGCGCTAAACCCCGTTGAAAACGCCCAGACGCGGAAAACGCTAAGGCGACGTAACAAATCGCAGCATCCTAGCAAAACAGAACGTGCTAGACCCCGCGGAAAACGCTCAGACGCGAATCACCTCGATGACGCATCAAACCGCAACATTATAAAAAAACAGACTAAACGGAACATACCTAAGGCAACATGCGCTAGATCCCGCGGAAAACGCTAAGGCGACGTAACAAACCGCAACATCCTGCAAAACAAGACGCGCTAAACTCCGCGGAAAACGCCCAGACGCGGGAAGCGCTAGACCCCGCGAAAAACACTAAGGCGACGTAACAAACCGCAGCATCCTGCAAAACAAGACGCGCTAGACTCCGCGGAAAACGCTAAGGCGGCGTCGAAAACGCGCCCGGGGTTACGCGGGAAGCGCTAGATCCCGCGGAAAATGCTAGGGCGGCGTCAAAGATGAGGAGGACGAGCGGCACACGTTACATCCCCATAGACAACGCCTAGGGGAAACCGATCCGGAGAAATCCTGCGACTGCCGTGGAAGACCTTACCAACCCCGACGACCGCCAGAGGGATCCACCTTCTCTCCCCCGGATACGAACTCCCTGGGGAAAGAAAACCATTCTTACCGACTCAGGAGGATAATCCTCCGGATACGAATCCTGAGGATTCTACGACCCCCCTCATCCCCCTTTCCGCTCCGTGGGGGCTAGGACTCCCCTTGCTTATCTACTCTTGACTAAGACGGGATACAAGTTCCTCGATGTATGCGTCATTCTTGAACGTTCCTCGCGCGAGAACATTATCCTGAGAGATAGTCATGGCAAGGAGATCTCGATGTCGCCCGATACGTGGAGGGAGCTTCTCGAGCAACGACACGTTCTATCTGCAGAGTACCAACGGAGAACCGTCCTTTCCGGCCCCGTCGCATATCGGAAATATGAGCGTGCGTTTCGGAAAAATCAACCTGACGATATTACGCCTGGAAACGCCCGCGGCTCGCATGTCAAAGGAAACGGTGAATAACATGTTCGAGCTCGAGCATTGCGTCAACCGACTCATTATCTCGTTGATCAAGATATTAGGAAAAATCGATGCGAAATTGGCGCGTTTCAAGGATATATCACGTCCACCGCTAAGGATACGGAGAATATCTCGAGAGTCATACGCGATAGCGAAGCCTTCGATCGTAACGACATTATCGATTGCGAATTCATTGCTCTGTTCTTTGGGATGTAAGAGTGAGATGAAATAAAATGAGAGAGATATTATAAAAATGTTTTTATTTTACTTCCCCAAGCATTTATGTAAGTGATAGAATATTGAACGATAGAATATTATGTATTATTTATATTTTTCAGTATTAACTCGACACTATTTACTATTTTGATACGAATAAATAATTAATAGTTTAAAACAATCTGATTATAATATAATATAAGTAATAGTTTAAAAGAATTTGATTATAATATGATATAAGTAATAGTTTAAAAGAATCTGATTATAATATGATATAAGTAATAGTTTAAAAGAATCTGATATATAATATGATATATTAATAATTTAAAACAATTTGATATAATATAATATGATATAATATGATATAATATGATATAAATCGTAAATCGTTAACGCGACATTACAATTCGGTAATACATTCCTGTCGTTTCGACCACCAGCTTGCACACGTTCTTCATGGAGCAATTCTTCGCGTGATGCTCGCAATGGAAAATGCGAACGTCGTCCAGGGTGTTCAGGTGCCCTATATCCTTGAAATCCGCGTTGATAATCTCGACGATCACGTCATGGTCCGTGATGATGTCGCTGAGAATCTCTTCCAACCACTTCTTCTTTTCCAAGCCTTTGACGTACACTCGTCTAGGAGTGTCTCGCGATCGATTGCACACGCCGCTTCGAATCACGGGTTTCAAGAATCTATAGACGATATCACCATCGTTCCACTGCAGGCCGTGATGATCGGCGGTTAGCCAGCACGCTCTAGATTTTTTCTTTGTAAGAAGATTCCAGGGTATCGCTTCTCGAAACACGCGATGAGTCAGTCTCCTTTCCATTTCTCAATATCGTCACCTTTTTAACCGTAAATTTCTCCCGAACGGTAAAACTTTGCAGCTCGACGAAGACCAGTACGTTCGACATCATCGCGAGATGGGGAAACTCGATACCTTCGCGCTCCGGTCTTCTTTTTTATACATTCGTTATCGATAACGCATAGGGAAAACCGCGATTTCCTGTTTTTTACATGAGTTTACGTACGACGTTCGTCAGCGGATTATATTCTATAACTCTATCGTGAATGATGAGACAATAAGGCGTTGTGTTAGCCGGAACGTTCTCTTTGCATTCGAATTCTACGCGAACGTCGACGGTGGTGCTTGTGATTGATTCTCTGGCGTTCTGGCGGGAACAATCGATGATCACGAGCGGACCGTATTGCAGAAATCTAGTGACAGTCATGAACGGTTCGCAGATCCCGTAATACGCCTTTCAGATACAGAAATTTCAGATACATATTGTACAGCACGGCGAACTTATTACGTTCGAAATCTAGATTCATATCGTAGGGATAAAACTCGGAATTCAAATAGAGTTTTACGTTAATCAGCTTGCAATTGTCGAATTTAGAAACGTCTTCCGATGATACGTTTTTCCTTCCGGTCTATAACGCGAAGATCACGTATCGCAGTTTCTCCGATTGTGTCACCGCTTTTACCGCCCACGAATGCTTGACCGTATTTTGCAACAGCGGAAATTCGTACAGATCCCACGAACGAAAGCCGATGCTTAGATATCGCTCGCTGTCCAACGTTCGCAGAAGCGATAGTTTGTTGTCGTTCAGTATCACGTGCGGCATTCGCCACTATATCCTCAACAGAGTGATCTTTGGTCTC